ACAAGAGAGCAGGCGAGAATAATCTGTACCAAGTTGCTGGCACAAGATCTTCCCGCTGTGTTGGTCAGTCCATCACCTTTGCTGGCACAGGCGCAGTGTAAACAACCTAAGCCTCCTTAGCTTCCCAATAAATTCCAAACGTTTCTAGGGCACCCAATTGTTCAAGCTGCCGTCTATCACCGGGAGATCTACTGGTCTTTGAACGGCTTCGGTAGAGAGAGCAGCAGACCATGGAAGCTCACTCGAAATCCTTTGCTGGTTCCTACACGCGTTATACAAAAGACCTCCTACCGAGCCACGCTTGCCCTCAATGAATTTTGGGCCCTTGCAAATTTGGCTAACACTTCCGATCGACGGATGCACAAGTGTGAGATGATTGAACGGATGTTCAACACTGAGTAGGAAGGCGCCTACACTACTATTCTATCACCTGTTAATTGATTAGTTTTTTTAAATTTTGTGTAAATTCTTATTTTATTGCCAAAGTTTGACAATTATTTCTGTGCCAGGACTAGTATCGTGAATTGTGACTGAAGAAACTTGAGATTTTAATCAAATAAAATATCCATATAGCTCATTAATATTGGATTTCTTCAGTTCGTTGGCTTGCAATCAATGCATAAAAAATATCAAAGAAGTAACGAGAAATGGTATGTGTACAAGAGCTAGTCAACCACAACACCGAAGTCGTAGTTTCGCCAGAATATGACTTTTGACGACGCGTGGCTGATGAGCCTAACGCAGAGCGTTCGTCACTTGTCACGACGAGGCCAAAGTTGCCGTTTCCGACACACCGATTTATCTTTGCTGCCATCATTGCCAATGACTCGACACTAAGGACAGGTCTGATAACAGCGCCTCATTTCCATTGATTTACATTGACTTAAGTGACAATATACCAGAGCGCTCAGTGTTCCTGAGCCAGATTGCATCTGTGACGCGAGGACCCGCGTAAAACTGTGAGAGAATTTCATGGTTGAAGACGTGCGTCGGCGACTTGTGACTAAATTACAGACATGAACGGGCGGGAATGATGGACATAGCCTGCGCCTCCTTGACAGTTCAAACAAATGATGTGCCAGTGGCACGTGGATGATTTCTTTTAACGTACAACGAAAGTAATTGTAGTGAATCGATGAATTACATAAAATTTTGAAGCAAGGTCACTGATTTAAGAAATGTTTTAAATTTACCTGGCTTCTTACTGATCAAAAAGACATCAAACGTTCATCATTTTCATCATATTTGTCTCATTATCAAAAATTTTAAATGTAAATTCAGCGCTGCCTTTTGACAGTATAATATTTCGACAATACCCAAGAAATTAATTGACATACACATCAGTCGGTCGTGTACCGTAAGCTCACTTCATTAAAACGTTCAATGTTTAACTGGCAAAATACGATGCATGCCGAGGTGAAGTTAGACTCGATTTCTGAAGAGATTTTGGTTCTCGAAGGCTGACTTCGTAGCTGCACTTTGCGTTTCATTATCATATGAAAACAATACATTGCGAGGAAGCGTTTTATCTCGAACAGGAACTCCCTGCGAGTTGGCTTGTTTTTGGATAGACAAGAATTGGGAGAACCTTCGACAAAAATTTATTGGACAAACGTGAACAAAGAAGCCAATGCTGAACAAGGCATGGTTGTTAACCACTTTTGTTTTGGGAGAAGCGTTTGTTTTGTCCCCAGATCTCACAACCATTCATCATTTATTTTCTTGATCTCAGATCTTTATTGCGTGCTCCAATTATATATGCATCTTGATTTGCAGCACCATTGCTCGTTGGAGGTATCAACCAAATGTGTCATCGGGAATAATGACCCTTTGGCGCTGGGTTTTAAATGATGATATTAGTTCAGCTTAAAGTTCAAGAAATCAATAAGTTAGGTGAATGCTAACGATTTAGGTGAATTTCGCATCATAAGTGCATATTTTAAACTTTTTGCAGCTGGAAAGTGCGATAAATTATCTAAAACACGATAACTGGAACGAAAGCAAAACAATCTGATAATTTCATTCAATTATGCAGTGCTCTCACCGGCCGCGTTTCTGACTGCGTACAAAGCACGATAAACAGGAGATGTTCTTGCGACGCCTTACACGGCGTATAGGAGTCGGTCGGTATCGCACTCACTATTTACAGAGCATTAGAGCAACGTCGGTAGACTGTTAGAAGGCTTGTATTCTTGAGGCTCCGAGTTCAGAGGTGATGTTTAGGAACCTTCCATTGCAATTTGCCCTCTGGGAGGTGGGTGGCTTTTGGGGCTTTGTCCTTCCTTCCAAAGATTCGAGTTCCTTTGATGCACGATTCAATGGGTGCCTTTGCGCTGGGTATCCTTTAATTTGCATGGAATTATCCACACACTGACGATTGAACGGCACGCTTGGTACCAGAAATGCGCGTGAAATTAAATGGCAAGCTTGAAAAAATTACCATATTTACTCACTTGAATATATTTATGATGGAAAATTGCTAATTTTTCATTAGATGCATTGAATGACATGAAATCGGTCTTTTATTTCCATGTATGCGTCTATATTACTTGGTTTTCTTGTTTCAATGTCATGTTATGACATTCGAAAAACGCGTATTTCAATAAAAATTTTGACGATAACATTACTCATTTACATCAAAAAGTATTTCACATTTTTCTGAGGGCTCGCGCAACAAATTTAAAACATAACAACAATAGAAAAAGTAGGAATTAATTTTTTCCAAGTAAGTAAAAAATGCAATTATAAGTATGTAATTCCAAGTATGTAATACTTCAATCAGCTTTGTTTCTGTAACATTTCGAAATTGTGTATGGAACTGCTCCTACTGATACTTAATTCAGTTACCCAATTAATATAGAAGATTTTGATTTTAATTTCTGATAGCAATTTATTCTAGGCCTAAATAGTCGAAATCACTAGTGGAATGAAATGTTTTTTTTTCGAAAAAAAAAATCACATTTCGATTTCGAGCTTAGGCTGTCTGAGTGATGAAGAAGGATATTTCTTTTTTCATTTCGCAAATTCTTGATCCAAGCGTGCAATTCGCTTTGTAAATTCTACTCTCTACGAGAAAAATAAAAGATAAATTTAGTTCGGTGATTCAAACTAGCACAATCACGAGCCAAGTTTGCGGGTTGCATGGCTATGATGCCAGAAGAACTCGCGCGCTTGGTGCAGTTTGGTCGAGTCCGCTCGTATCCTATAGAGTATAGACCAACAGCCATCGAGCACTCAGATCCAGACTCGTGTCGACGGGGCTGTTGACAAGACAAACATTGAAGGCCCTCCGAAACCGCGACGCTTTTGAAGGCCTGCAGAAGACTAAATAAAGATTGGCCGTCTCTTAATTTCCTTAACAGGGGTATTCAAGTGGCCCAAAGAGTGTACCGACCGACAGAGTAGAGATGTTTTGCCGATTCTCGAGAAGACGTTCAGAGCCAGAGTGTCGTTTTTGGCAACGCTCGAGTGGCGCGTGCGTGCTTCTGCAAGTGTTGCCAATGCCGGCAACTTGAGACGGTGTCGTCTGCGTGGATATGGTAAAATTCCCAAACATGGGTTCTGCGCTCAAGCGATGATGAGACAAGAACTACAGTTCTGAACTGCTCTACTGGGAGTATAAAACAACGCAAAAGTAGGATGCCTAGTAGGATAGTATCTTCCATTAGAGCATTTGTGTGAAAGGAATAAAGGAACGACCATATCCGATTCACTGAATTAGTCGAAACTGCAATAATGAATTACTCAATTGATGATTTTGGAAACTGTTTCTCGAGCGGTCAGTAATATTTCACTGTCAAATGTAAAATAAAGAAGTAATTCTACTGAAACCTGTTTTCGTGCATGCTCTTGGCTTTCTAAATGCATACCGCATGTGTATATCAGTGTATGGCGCCTGATTCTGGGTAGATTGGTTTAACCATTAGTCACAATTTGAAGCACAGGAAGCTCTATTGATTTGCAGCACTAATCAACAATTCCTAAAACCTTAAAAAAATTAAATAACACGACCAATATATGTATCAGATGCAACGACGCGCAAATAATGTGAAAAATTACAAATGTCATTATTCAAAACTGCTCTCCTATAAACATTTGGGAGTCTTCCAAGAAGAAGACACGTAGGTATGTAAGCGTGCTGCTCAGCATGCACGGCGTGAATCACCGCATGAGATCAGAACATTTCCGATGGGGACAAAAAAACGCAATTTACGCAAGGTTGTTGTAGTCATCCCCTGGAGGCCAGCGATGTGCAAGAGGCCAGCCCCATGGGCCGCTCGCGAGGCCAAAGGTCCTGTGAGCGCGGTCGTTTTTAAGCGCGCTTGTGTGCCATCCGTCGGGTGGAAATAAACATTACAGCGAGGTACACGATCTCTTGTCTGGCAGGTATATTTTTGCTATTTATTGTAAAATATTAATAACTCGTTTTATAATGGGAAATTTCACCTTTAAAATGGGAAATATTAGATTTTGATACGATAAGTTGATCACAAGGAAAATTTTTTCTAGCATTATAACTCTACCAGGAAAATTTTTATCAAATTTCGCCTATTAGCGCTGACGCAAAACCACTGCTACTTGATATGTTTCTCTGGCGTCTTTTAGGTATGATTTTTGCTATTAAAAAGCAGTAAAAACAATTAGTTTATGCATCAGCTGAGTGTTGTGTATGATTGGTAGAACGGAATGCCTGCAAATCATCCCTCATTGCTCATTGGTTGCTGCTGTCACGGGCCGATCCTTCATTGGATAAGAAGTGGACTCGTGTATTCAGCTCACTTTGCTGCAAACTATCAAATGTAAAAGTATCCAATCAAGTGTGCAACATAAAATATATAGTGCAATAATGTATGAAATTCACAATCGTGTTAATTGTACCCATACAGTCCAAGTAATTTCGGCAAACTGACCGACCGTTGCGAAAAACCCTGCCGTTCGCTCACACGTGCCCAACTGAGCAACAGGTGCTGGCGGTTGGTGCCTCCAGTGAGCCGCTGGACTTGGTGGAAGTAGGTTGTCAAGTTTGCAGTTTCATCTGACGAAACTCGACCGCTCTCCACGCCTCTCGAAAATTTGCTGCACGGTTTGCAAACCGAAGCAACTTATTTGGAAGGATAATACTAAATTCACTTCATCATTGCCCCCAAAAAAAATAATTTGATTTAAAAAAGGATCAAAACATCACGACTCATTTGCATGATTCATATTTTAATGCATTAAACTTTTTCGATTAATAAATTTAAAGGATTGGAATCTCTTCGCAGCTATTAGCGCCGAAGGAAGAATTGAGCACATTTCTCAATAATGGCGGATTATCAGGAGGTGAGAAACTGAATTACGTTTTGAATTGATAATATAAAGATTACATGAAAGCTTCATAGTAAGATTAATTAGAGTCAAGCAGGCAATTGCATTTTTTGGTTACACCAAATAAAATTTAGTAGCACTTCAATTAGTTCATATTTATCTCTTGATTCATTCATTAACGATAAAGCGTTAATTTTTTAGGATGCAACTCAACCTTAGTTGTATTTATTTATTAAATTTGTATCTGTTTAAAATGGATCTTTAATCTTTTGCATCTCATTCAGGGAATGCATTTCTGAGCCATGGATATCGATAAGCCATTAAAATTGGCCTAAAAATTTTTACATTCACAAATTAAAAAAATGCAAAATTAAAGTGATAAAGTGATGATGTATTAACAATCCCAGTGATGAATTAACAAATCCGTATGCCTGATTGTATCTATAAATATATCTATCAAAGCCATTTATCTATAAAGGAATAGACCTTAAGATATTAAAACTTTATTTATCTGTGTTTCTTTGTTTTATGAAGGTCATTCGCATGATTTTCCCTACTTTATCCTAGTTTGCGGCCATCGTTAACAAAATATCAATACTTACCAGATTATTTTTTTAAATTATATTAAAATGAACTTAAGCCTTGTTTTGACAACTATCATAAATTCGTCATAATTCAAGTTTTTCTTACGACCCAATTCTTGCTGCACTCAATGTTTTTGTTCAGCTTGGGCGGTAGTTTTGACGGGCTATACATTCAGTTACAGGACAGGGTGCCTTGGATATACGCTAAGCGAGACAAACTACTTTGCAGATATGACGCATTCAAATTCTTTGCACAGTGACAGTCGAACTGTCGTTTCCTGGAACTAATGGCCATGTGTCTGGTTTGTCACTCGAAGTGTCTCTAAAGCCATCCTAGAGCCATCATATAATGCCGTGTCTCTAGAGTCATCCTATGATGCCATTGTGCTTTGAGGGTCAACTGAACCTGAACTAGAGTTGCGAATCCTACGAATCGACTCGCTTAATTTAATAGAACTGGCGAACAATTTATGTTTTAATGTATTTCATCAAACTTCTAACGAATAATGTTTTCTAAGAACAAGGCTTTGATTTCTTCCTAGCTAATAGTTGCTGATTCTACCTGCCTTTCGTTGAGAGAGTTGTTCAAACTAAAAATAATGTTTTTATAACCCGTTCTGTCGAATGTTTTGATCAAATATTTGCAATTAGAAAATCGAGCGGAAATCAGAAAAATCTATCTCAACACAAAATGAAAACCTAGCTATAATACCTAAATATCCATGTGAAATATCTTACTGAACTATATAAGGGTTTAGGGAGATTTTACGAGACATTATTTTTCCAATTTTTATTTTCGTAACACATGTATATTTCTTCCAACAGATGTGGCAGGATATCGAAAACGTGCTACTGGAAGAATGTAAGATGATCAGTAGTCAAGATGGCGTCAACCTGAAAGTAGACGACTCGCCAGTTTATCAGCCTCCTAGTAACATCGTCCAGCAACCAACTGATCAATACAAACCATACGACGCAAATCCCTACAGCAACAGACCATCCAGTTTTATCCAAGCTTCATCTCCCTCGAACATCCCACAGCAGCAGGCATCGAGAAGTCCCTTATCTGCACCGAGTCCACCTTCTTGGAGGCTCGCTTGCCTGCCAACGGATCATGGTTCTCGAGAAGGTGTTGCTTCGTTCCCAGAAATCAACTCGGTGAACAAAATTACTTCCACTTTACCTCCCATTGCCGAAAGACTTCTATCAGAACCTCCGTCTTATGACTCGTTAGATGGAAGCGCCCTTACTTTTGGTACATCTGTTGCGCCCCCCGCCCCGGAGTTGTGTTCAATAAATTCACATGGTGACGCTCAATATACTTTCAGTCCGCCTCTATCTATTTCTGATAGTTCATCATCGTCGCAACAAAACCATCACACTTGCGTCGAATCATCATTTCAAACCAACGCGATGGCCCCTCTTCCTAGTGCAGAGAGCGCTAATCTTCCAACGCTCATATCCCATGTTAAGCAGGAAAAGGATTTTACCATGCCGCCAAATTATGAAGTTTCTCCCGATGGATCTCTTAAAACTAGCTATCATATTAATCGTGGTATTCAGGGTGTATCTACCAACCTTGCTGCATGCACTGGCTACCCAAACAACAAAATAATTGAAACCAGCAGCGACAAAACATACTTCCTTCTCGGAGAGGAATTTTACTCGGGATGTTTACCTCCTCATACTTCATATGGCCATTTACCTGGAAGCTATGATACCCATTCACCTGGGATACGTTGGGACTCGAGGGAAATTATCACATCGCAGAGCAATCAGCTGAATTTTAGTTCCCATCAATGCGGATGTTTCCCTTCAGTTTCCCTGCAGTCGATGAATGGACTTAATAACGGTTGCCTGTACCCACATTGCAATGCAAAACTAGGAACCGCAAAAAATATTCTAACGCCACCTTCGTCACCGTCACTCAAGAATTCAGATGAACATATTACGGGATCGAAAGGTTTGCAGTGTAGAGCGACGCATTGCATGGCGATCCCTGATCCTCAGCGAACTTTCAGTGTTACCCCGCGATGCCCCTTGACGAAAATGAAAGTGAAGAGACGACGCAGAACTTGGACCCGGCGTCGCAGCGTGGTGCACACTTGCTCGCACTCGGGTTGTGCCAAGACCTACGCCAAGTCATCGCACCTCAAGGCCCACATGAGGACCCACACCGGAGAAAAGCCCTACCAATGCGACTGGAAAGGCTGCGGGTGGAAATTCGCGCGTTCTGACGAACTGACGAGGCATTACCGCAAGCACACCGGCGACCGCCCCTTCCAGTGCAGACTTTGTGCCAGGGCGTTCAGCCGCTCCGACCACCTCAGCCTGCACATGAAGAGGCATATGGCAATGTAATTTTCAAACTAAAATCTATGTATTATTATTTCAGCGATCGACTTCATAAAACTTTTTAAGAACTACTCCAGTGCAATTTGTCTCATTCCGATTCTATTATAATAAGTTCGTTATCATTCTCACGCCTGCGTTAAATAACTTAAGGCGACTGCTTTAGTTCGATCTCTAATATTAATTTCAGCCTTTTCCAGCTTTTGAATCTAATAGGGCATTTAACAAAATTGCTTTGTATATGTAAGGATTGCTCTGACGTTGTTATTGTCGGATTTACGCTCGGTTTTAATCCAGACAAAATGTTAATGTTAAGTTGACCCTTGCAATTCTCTCAGTGCCATGTTAATGTCTAAGTTTTGATTTTGTGCCATGAATGTCAATATATTGAGTGTCATTCTAATTTTTCAGACATAACCTAGCTGCGTGTTAATATTTAAACTTTACTATGTTGTTTAACTTCAAAGTTATCGATTTCTATGAGATTAATAATAGCATACATGTCGCCGTTGTAAGAATCAACTAAGATCTTTCCTTAAGCAAAACAAGCTTTATTGATGGTTGAACATCGTCTTCAAATTAATGTCCACGAGAACTAGAAAGAGATAACATTTTGCTTTCAATATATTGGAAAACATAATTAGTTCGTAATTTAAGTACCTTTGTTGTTGTTACTAACAAAAGTAATCTTATGTCAAATGAAAGTATATATAACCACGATAAAGTGATTGAATAACATAGTGAAATCACTTCAAGCATGGGCCCACTTAATGCGAATTAAGTGGGCCCACAAAAAAAGGAACTAAGAGTAAAAGCGTTGCCATTAAATGTAGAGTGGAGAGCCAAGCACAGTTAGGTCAAGTGTAGGGCTATGTAATATCACTTCAAGTGAAGGGCTGCGTGGTGTTTAGTGGGATCCCCTGCATATTTAATGGGAGGAAAACCGTTTGCTCTGCCAAGTTCCAACATTGGACTACGTGAGAACGGAGAAGCGTTTGTACGCATGTCCTTCTTAGGTAGCAAGTGAGATTGCTGCGAATTTAACAGCCTGGATAAGGTTTTCTTTGCGTGTTATAGCTCAAGATCTCAAGATAAAGGCCTGACTGGCCGTCGTGGAGGCTTTGTTCTTGCAATTGCGTGGGTCGAAGCGTCAGACCATCTTTATCCTGATAAGCGCCTGTCGATCTTCTTACCATTAGTCCAATGCGATAGATTCTTCATTGTGGCCATACATAGAGCTTTTCTTTTATCCATTAAACATGGACTTATTATTTTCCTTATCTAAAATTAAAGCTTTTTAGTTAACATAAGTTGTGCCAGGGACGTTCTTATATTTTTGATACTTTTTTACTTTTTGTACCTTTTATAATAAAAATACAAAACCAAAACTTTTTCGCCTGCCCTGATATTTCACTTGACCTATCATTTCTTCACTTATTTGAGAAATCTAAATAATTTTAGCCGTTTATTCACATTATCGAAATGATTTTTGTACAAATTTTGAGAGCAAATCTCATTTTAAAAGTTTAGCTTATATATCAAGCAAAAACTAAAGTAATTATGTTCTAAATTTTCATTAACCGTATTTGAATTATAACCTCAAATCTCTGTTTTTCCCATTGGAAATTTTTAACGGTGAGCTTAAATTTGCTTGTTAAAAAAAAATATGAATCCGCGTTTTTCACTACCGAGTTTTCATGTCCAGGGCAGTTGGCCGACCAGCGTGCGCATGAGCATGGCGCTCTATCTCGATGGCCTCGTTGCGTTGATGACGCTCTATTTCCTAATCTACAGAAATCCACGGCCAAAAGACTTTACCTGCGCAAAAATAATGATTTGTGAGGCAATGTTGTGTTATGATGGCGGCTATATAGACTCGATGGCCGGGCTCAACAACATCGATGGCTGGCGATAGCAGATCCTGCAGCGGCCAGAATGGGCTCATGATCCTTCAGAATTTGCGCGACTCAAGATGTCCGCCGAAGACTTTTGATTTATTTTTGCCAAAAAGTGAATTGGCCTGATCCTATAAATCTTGTAGAAATATTAAGATCATTGTAAGACTGTAATAATTTTTGAATTTATCGTATGAGATTTGCGACATTGTTTACAAACACGAAAGATTAGACCGACAGCAGCAGGCTAAAAATACATAATTTTGCCATTTTAAGGAATATCGTTGTATTTATCTCAGGCCAAACCACGCATAAAACCTCGAACAAGACTTCTGAGCTGGACCATTAAGATCGCAAGCCGTCATGGTCGTGATGGTTATCAGGCGACTAGCGTAACACAAAAAGATGAGGCTTAAACGATTGAGGGGACGTATCTTTGTCAAAAGACGGCAAATGCTGATACTATGCTTAAGGATAAGAAATATCAAACCTATATTTTAGTGGGATGATCAATCGCCATTTCTCGTGAGTGAAAGACTGAACATTACTTGAAATCAAGTAGTAGAATAAAGCGGTCGTAATCAAATGACTAGCATTAGAGCATTTTGTCGAAAAGATTGTAGTTAACGTATTTTATTTCAAGCATATCGTGGTACAAGACTGACGCATACGGCGCTTTCAGAACTCGAATACGGAAGAACAGCGGAGTGGTGCGTGGGCGCCTTATAAACGACTCGTGTGAAGGCCATCGTCCGACACTTCACTTGAACTCGACTTCAACTGCTTCTCTCAGAATTAATTCATTTTATTTAGTTTCCTCCTACCCCAAGATTGATCGTTTGATTGTTTACCAACAGTAATAGCACAGAAACGACGAAATGGCCACACGGTTTCACTCACCGGACATAGAGAGATGCTGGCTTAAAGCGAATGTCAATACACGATCGTAATTTATTCCAGGTTCTTATTATATAACATGGTTTTATACCCACATCAAATAAAAAATAGCGTAAGAAGGATCCAGGTATAGTATTTTGGCGAGAACACATTGATTACTGCTGGAGAGGATCGTATGTTGGGACACCGAAATAATCCAGCCCAATACACAATGTTTGCTGGATACCCACTGAAGTGTACAACAGAATGGCCACTGCATATCATGACAAGTTTACTCAGGCTAAATATTTGAAGTATTGGCCTAATGATTATTTTTACTCAAGCAGAGAATCAGAAGGAAGTAACTTTAATAATTGAAGAAGCGTTATCGTTAGCGTGAAATTCGCCTTCAATGACCATTAATGATAACAAGATATTGGATTGTCAGCAAATCCATTATTTTTGGCTTCAAATATTTTTGTATCGTGTCTGATAAGCTTGGCGTGAAAATCCCCATCAAAAATATTTCATGATTTAATCGGTTTGAGTAGTGCCAAGAATTCTGTACAAGTTTACCAAAATTTGTTCTTGTTCAGTGTTCTGAACGTCACTTACAAATATTAGCGCTCGAGGATTGATCAATATTAGTTTGTAAATTCACAAATAAGGAAATCATACGTAATTTTTCTAGTTTCTGGAATTGCACTTACCACTTAAGTTGATGTTATACCTATTTTTGATAAAAATTTTCATGCTTATCTTTTAAAACACTGAAAAAAATATAGGGGGGGGGGCAAAATATCAAATTTGCTTTCAATAATTATCTTCTTATCGCCCTTTAACTTCATGGGCATTATCAGAAAAAAGTGCGCAATAACTTCATGGTTTCAGTTCAATTTTTTATCATTATGTGTGATATTTTCCCAGCAATTTATATTTTGGATTACTTTTTTTTTAACATGAGACTGATCAAAATTCTGAACAACGTGACTTTGGATCACCATCTGAGCTGCGTTGAGGTCTCCTTGAATCTTGGCTAAGCAATTCGTAATGTAAACAATTTTTTCTTTAATTTATCTTCTTAAAACGTAAATTATGGAAAATGTTCGTTGTATAAATAATTATATCGTGAATCACATCGTATTTCGAAATCAACCCGAAAAAAACTAAAGAAAAAATAAATAAGTACAAACCCGCTGTAAAGTCGCACTTCATACAAGCGTAAATGAACTAATTTCGGACAATTTTTCAGTGCTAAAGAGTTGAAAGTGTAATAAATGCTTCTAATATTGTTTACTTGTACTTAAAACAGCAACAAAGTCTGCTGCACCTCAAATTCTGGAAAATTCTGATTCTGCATTCTTGTTGGCCAAGTGTTTTCGTGGTCATTAATTATTAATTATCAAATGTGCTGCATGCATTTTTTCTTTGAACGTACGATAGAATTATTCATTTAGAGACATAATTAGAGTGCAAGTCAATAAAAAAATCAGTCTCATGCCTATTAAAGCGTTAAGGGAAAATTCTTCACAGAAACACGGAACTCTACGGTAGAATATAGTGCCAGATGAAAATTGGCCCCCTTAGTTCAACCTTGTGATTCGCCGCCTAGAAATGCAACCTGGAATTTCAGAAATGCGTAATTTTGTTTCAACTGTTGACCAAGCTTAAAATTACATTGAAGATATTTGTCATTATACGTAGCTTTATATCTAAATTTATGGACTGCAAGTACCTCTGATTATTTATTCAAATTTTGACTACCTACTGTAATTCATATCCACTACATTTAACTTAGGACGGCGTTGTTATCAACTTATTATTTATCACAGAAATTGCTTAGAATTATTTTTAATATCAAGGAGGATAGCAGGGATAGATGAGAAGCATTTTAATTCAAATATTATTATTAGTTTAAATACTGAATTAAATGTTTGAGCGGCAAGTAACATGTTCAAGCCTCTTGGTAGTAGGCTAACCTACATTTAAAAGTCAAGGTTTTAAGGATATCGCCATTATCATGTTAATTTATCGCGCATGTAGGTAGCGTTAATGCGCGCCAAAATAACTGGAATGCATTAATAATAACAGGCGCAATCGCCTGCGGTGTTAATGGAGAAAAAGACTACAAATGTAAGTACTGAACGAGAGTGAAGTGTTTAATTGCACACTTCACTATGTACACATGATGAGTAACAATAAATGAAAAAATTAATTTTAATTCATTATTATGCAAAACAAATACTTTTAAATATACAGAAAATGAACCTGAGGGACTCGTAAATAAGAATTGAATGAAGAAGTACCACAAATTTATTCAAATGTTGTGGAAAAATATGAGAAATGCATTAATTACGCGTGCGCAGTTCGAATTTCTAAATTTCCCATCAATTCGGTAAATTTCGAGACAGCAATATAAATTTGTGATTAAAATACATGCCTTCCGTTGTATTTGAACATTTTGTAGCATAAAATGATCTAAACATTCCACTAAATCGTTCCATGTTTCTAAAGGCTTGGAAATTTTTTTCGTGCACATCGACCTCGGGTGTTTCACCCAACGCCGACCCCAAGCGTTTATAATTGCTGCCCGTTGACGTCGTTGATTTCAGTGAGCTAATAAATTCAACAAGCAAGGCTGTCTGATTGAGCATCGATCGTGTCTCGTTTTCACATCGTCTATCACGTGGCTGCCTACCTATCACTTTTTATCCCTCCTATACGACAATTATCTATGCTGAACACGACGAAATCTAATAAATCCATCAGCTGCCAATTAAAAGTGATAAACTGAATTGTTTGTGACTCTTGTTGTACTGACTTCAATTTATTGTTGGGCTTCGGATGCTGAGATTCCATCTGCGACGATGGAAGGAGGCTGCGCATCCTAAGCGCTACCTTCACAGTGAATCCTCGCAGTGATTAGTGAAAGTTCATAGAATTGTCGTCCGTAATTAATATACATAAACTTGAATAGTACTTTGCCTCTTAATATTG